AAGCAGGCAGATCTCTGTGAGTTCAAAGGCCAGTCTGATCTACATAGCGAGTTCCAGGCCAGCTAGGGTTACAGGAAGACCCTGTCTCAAAAAGACCAAAAGAGAGAGAGAGAGAGAGAGAGAGAGAGAGAGAGAGAAAAGAACTCTAAGTACGTATCTTTGAACTTTGAACTTTTTGACAGTCTTTGCTAGTATTGAATTCTGTCTGAAATTTTAGGCTAAACAACTACACCTTTCACCTCAAATATTTTCTATTTAAAAAATTAAGTGTAGGGGCTGGAGAGACAGCGCAATGGTTAAAAGCATTGGCTGCTCTTACAGAGGACCTGGATTTAGTTTCCGACACCCTCTTCTGACCTTCAGCAATTGCACCACATGGGTACACGCAGGCAACACACTCATACACATAAAAATAAAAAGTAATAAATAAAATATTTTAAAAGACTTCGCCTAACATGTGCAGAGTCCTAAGTCTGATCCCTAGCAGTAAGGAGGAAACCCCAAACCTGTGTTCCTTTTTATCACCTAAGAATTAACGCAGATATGATGAAGTCAGGAAATACCCAGGCTCCGGTCTGTTCCTGACATTCACTCTCTGGCCTCATGTCTCTCTGATCCCAGTTGCTCGTATGTAGGAAGAGATTTTATCAGCCTCAGAATTGCTGTGAGAATTAAATAAATAGTATAAAGAGAGCACATGGTCCATGATAAACATTCATAAGTGATTCGTTTCCTTCCTCCTTGTTTTATAAATTATATTTCCCTTCTAGAAGTTTTATCATTTTCTAAAACAGTGACATTTTGAATGCAAAAACCTTAGAATGTCAACTTAAAACATACAAATGAAAGTCAGCTTTTTAAAAAAAGAAAGAAATTTCTTAGAACTGGAGCCTTACAGCTGCTCTATTGTTCTTCAGCTGTTCTTCATGGCTCAGAGGCAAGCCAATATAGGCCACAGAGTGAACAGAATGGGCCTGTCCTCACAGCAGTTTGTTCTTGAAGTGGTATGTGAATATCATGCTTTTGTTGGCTTGTCCTGTCTTTGAGTATGTGAATACTGTGGATCGCACTTAGCTTTGATTGTGGACATTTTGTTACTCTTCATCAGCAGTCCCCAATAGGTTTCACCAACAGTCCTTAAAAGCATGGGAAGAATATATTAGAGATTCATTTGTTTGTCTGAAAGTAGAGGTTTCATTTTACTGACAGTATTGGCACTGGGCTAGAAGTGTACCTTGATGGTAGAACCCTTCCCTGGTAGTACTGGCTCTGACAGTGTACCAGGGTGAACTCTAGACCTCCTGGTACCCGGAAGGGAGAGCACAGAGCAGCTCGCTGTGCAGGGCTTGACATGTGTACTCCCCTTGTCGTACCCCTTCGGTGTGTCGTAACATTAAGTTCTAATGGTAGAACTCAGTGGTAGAAGTCCTGTCTGGCATGTACAAAGCTTGGGTTCCATCCTAGCACCACAAAAAAAGGAAAGAAAAGAGAAAAGCAGAAGTCGTGTTCCTATTTATAGGGTCTAGCTTCCATTAATCAAATCTTTTAAAACTATTCTATTATTTATTGGGACTGGAGAGATGGCTCAGTGGTTAAGAACACTGACTGTTCTTGCAGAAGACCCAGGTTCAAATCCCAACAGCCTCTTCTGACCTCTGCAGGCACTGCACGATATGGGTGCACTTACCTACATGCAGGCAATACACGCATACACATAAAATAAAAATAAATAAAAAATTTTTTAAACTCTGTTATCTCCCAAATTGAAAAAATACAATATATGTCATGAAAGATAATGGCAAAGCTGTCATCTCATCCTAGAGCATCCCCCTCATGAGGTAGAAGAAATGCATCCACCTAATCTTACAAGCAGTGAATCCATCAATGTTACTAGGAAGATTTCTATTTGGGATTTGTATGTACTGTAATAAAGTGTGTCTTATTATGACTTTATATTTTGCTTACTGTTGATAATATGAAGCCTTTGTGATTAGCAAGGGGTATGATAGCCGACTGTCCAGATTTTTTTTTTCAATAATAGTTTAACAAGTACAAAATTTGTTTTGAGGGGTCTGGAGAGATGGCTCAAGAGTTAAGAGCACTGACTATTCTTGCAGAGGAACCAGGTTCAATTCCCAGCACCCACATGACAGTCTACAACCATCTGTAACTCCAGTTCTAGGGGAATCTGACGTCCTCTTTTGACCTCAGCAGGCATTGCACAGCACTGGCACACTTACATACTTGCAGGCAATACACTCATACATATAAAATAAAATTTAAAAAAATAATAAATTGTTTTGGAATACCAGGTAATTTTTTTGGTTTGTTTGCTTGGTTGGCTGGTTAGTTAATTGGTTGATTGGTTGGTTGGTTGGTTGGTTGGTTAGTTAATTGGTTGATTGGTTGGTTGGTTGGTTGGTTGGTTGGTTGGTCGGTTGGTCGGAACCCGGTCTCATTGCATAGCCCTGATTGGTCTGGAATTCATTATGTAGATCAAGCTGGTCTTAAACTCATAGAGATCCTCCTGCCTCTGCCAATTGCTAGGATTAAAGGCATAAAGTTGTATGCGCACATGCCCTGCCCTCAGTACAGCTTTTTAAAATCTAGTTCATTTTGACTTTATCTCACCTTTGTTAATTTCTTTTTTTTTAATTGCATTTATTTATGTGTTGTATATGTGTGGGCACATACACCATGTGTGTGTGTATGTGTATGTGTAAATCACAGGACAACCTGCAGGAGTCAGTTCTCTCCTTCCACAATGTGTATCTTAGGGATCAAACTCAGGTCATCAAGTTTATTAAAAGTACCTTTACCCACCATCTTGCACATTAATTTCTTTTTATATACATCTTATATAACACAAATGCTCTGGTATGTTGCATATTCATAAATAAATAGAACATATATTGCAAGTACCTACACTTTTTTTTTAACTTGTAGACATATTCAGTCAGAAAAGTTTGAAGACCTCTGGCCTAGATTCTGACTGTCAAAAGCAACTGGAGGGGTCAATTTGGAAAGTCTCTGGCTAGGCCCAGTGTCTGTATTTCACCAGGCTTCCCGGCTGCTTCTGACAGTAACCGTGCTTGAGAGCCACTCTGCCTCTGCCTGATCTGCTACTGTAAACGCTTGAAAATGTGAACCTCGAGCATCTGTTTCCTACTATCTACGTCTACCTCCTAGTTCATTGGTTTGGTTTTTGTTTTTCATTTCTTAGAATGTTTTTAACAGATGTGTTCCTACTCTTTAAGTATTTTTCAGTCAAAGAAGAACATTTATGCCTAAATTATAGATTAAATTACATGAAATTGCCAATATTTAACCATTTTTTATCAGCCAAAAAAATGTGATTTATATGGCTGCCAGTTTTGAAAAATTTAAAACCTGTGAAGAATAAAACCTGTGAAGATATTTATACCAGAAAAAAAAGCTTTTTTAATTGTGTGGGCCAGTGTGCCACCTTTTCTCAGATCATTGGGCTTGCACAGCAAGTACATTTACACCACCTCTGTTGTACATTTTTAAAAATAAGATTTTCATAGACCTATTGTAAAATGTTTTCTATTTGTGATGTTTTTTCAACTATTTACTCACTATATTATAAAAATTTGTATGCCTATTGTATCCAAACATTGGGAACAAAACTTTAATCCAAGAATCCTAGAAATACCTAAAATTTTATTTGGGAAAAAGCAGGACTCATAGGCACATACATGGCCTTTAATCCCAGCTCTCAGGAGGCAGAGGCTGGCAGATCTCTGTGAGTTCAAGGCCAGCCTGGTCTACATAGTGAGTTCCAGGACAGCTGGGGCTACAGGGAGACCCTGTCTCAAAAAGACCAAAAAAAAATTCTTTTCCTTTTGAGACTTTGAGGCATCCTATTAAGCTTCAAAATTGACAACATTGAAAGTTCCACTTTCTCTGCTCACCTTCTGCTAGGTGCTGTTCTCTAAATTTGAGGACAAATATAAAACAGGGAAGCAGGGGAAATAGCAGGGTTCTGGAAGCTATTAATTCACAGGAATAATCAGCCCTGAATATGCAGGGCTAGCTCTCATGTAGTCATCAAGCTCTATAAAGAAATGGCTGCACTGAAGAGAGTCGATTTAAAAAAAAAAAAAAAAAGTGGAAGGCTGGAGAGACAACTCAGTGATTAAGAGCACTGACTGCTCTTGCAGAAGACCTGAGTTTGAATCCCAGCACCCACATGGTGCCTAACAACTGTCCGTAACTCCAGTTCCAGGGAATCCAGTGCCTGCTTCTGACCTCCAAAGGCACTGCACTAATCAGGTGCACTTACACACATGCAGCCATAACACTCATACAAATAAAAAAAACTGGGGGCTGGAGAGATAGCTCAGAGGTTAAGAGCACTGGCTGCTCTTGCAGAAGACCCAAGTTCAATTCCCTTAACAATCATCCATGACTCCAGTTCCAGGTGATCCAACACCCACTTCTGACCTCTGTGGGCATTGAACAACACATTAATTAATTTTAAAAAATTTTTTAAAGTGGAATCATGATGGCTTTACTGCCATTTGAGAAAGGCTTCTACAGAAAATACATTTCCTATAACTACTTAGTTAAAAAAATAAGTATTTGATGTTATATGGTGAAACATACCTGTAAACCTAGCTATTTGAAAGTCCAAGGCAGGATTGTTAAGTTCAAGACCAGCTTGGACATAATAGTGAGGCCTTCAAAAAAGTGTTAACAGGGACTGGAGAGGTGGCTCAGTGGTAAAGAACCCTTGCTGTTCTTCCAGAGGACCCAGGTTCTGTTTCCAGCATCTACATGGTGGCTGACAACTATCTGTAACTCCAATTCCAGGGGATCTAACCTCCTCTTCTGGCCTCTGTGGAGCATTCCATGACACAGGTACACTTAAATACATGCAGGCAATACACTCATACTCATAGAAATAAATAAATAAATGTTTTAAAAATAAGTAATTAAAAATAAAAGTATTAACAAGAAATAACTCTTCATTACAGGTGATCACTTTCTTCAGCTCAAGGTTGCTACAAGCTGGAGCTGAACTATCAGTGGAACGAGTCTTAGAAATCATTAAACAAGGGGTTGTTGCACTGCCTAAAGACAGACTAAAGGTAAGGCGACTAAACAATTATCTGTTGACATTCATTATTGATTATCAGTGTCTAGCAGACTATTCAGTCATACAGCTTAGCCAATACTTATGCCAGAAAGGCTAACGCCTCTACTCTGATACCCCAAACTACAGTGAAAGCCTCTGTAGCTTTTCAAAAGAAAACAGCCAAATATACTTTCATATCACACTGCCTGTCCTATCCTGTGAGTAATTCATGCTGCTAACAAAGAGGTGCCCTATTTTCATAACCAAGTAAAACAAATTCAGTAGTACAGTCATCACCAAGGGCTGATAGGAGGAGGTGGTGATGATGAGTACAGTAACGCCTAATGCTTGTCTAGTGTTACTCAGTGCCATGCAGGGATCTCAGCATCTAAATACATCAGTTTATTCAACAGCGTTCTCACATAGGATTGTTAATATCTGAAGTTTTCTGATGAAGAAACCAGTATAGAAAGATTAAGTAACTTACCCAAAATTAGACCACTAGAAAATGATTGAGCTGATGGATTCAGACCCAGGAAGTCTAGCTCCAAAGCCCTGTGCAAACTGTATACAGCTTACTATATGCCTTCAATACAGCAACAGATAGAAAAGCACTTGTGGGAAAAGTAGGGGAGCTATTATGCTTTAATGAGACATTTATGGGGGCTGGAGAGATGGCTCAGTGGTTAAGAGAACTCTCTGCCTTTCAGAGAACCTGAGTTCAGTTCCCAGTACCCTCATTGGGCAGTTAACAACAGCCTGTAACTCCAGCTCCAGGGTATCTAATGCCTTCTTCAGACCTCCATAGGCATATACATACACATAAATAAAAAAAAAATAAATCTTAAGGGGCAGGAGAGATGGCTCAGCAGTTAAGAGCACTGACTGCTCTTGCAGAGGACTTGGGTTCGATTTCCAGCACCCCCATGGCGGCTACAAACTGTCCTTAACTCCAGATCCAGGGGAATCTGAAGCCCTCTTCTGATCTCCACGGCATTGCACGACACTGGTGCACTCACATATGTGCAGGCAATACACTCATACACATAAAATAAAAAGAATAAATAATTTTTTTTTTT